ACTATAATTGCTATGAATTATGAACAGGTATAAAATTTATTTACCTCGAAAATAAATACGTAAGATTTTTCTGTATTCATTTTTACAGAAATTTTCAAGAAAATTTGCTTAAATGTCCATTTGTTTTCTATGACCACTATATTCCATTGAAATAAATCCTAGGAAAATATTTAACTACATATCTAAATACAAATATATGTAGGTATAGGTATTAATAAAAATCATGAAAAGAGTTATCTATTTTATATTAATTAAATATAAATATCAGAGCCAATATATTTTGGAATTGTTGTTATGTCTACATCTGCATCTTATGTAAACATTTTGATGCATAAAAGTTTATTGTTGATGTAGATTTAAAATTAATTATTTTCCCACAAAAATACTTGTAGATGCGTGATTAATTTTGACACAGTGTTAAAATCCTATAGTTAATAATAATTAACTGCAATATTATAGAAAAGAGGTTTTTCTAAATAAACTAATTCTGTTTTCGTAATTTTCCGGTCCTTAATAAAGCAAATGGCTTAACTGAAGGACACTTTAGATTTCACACAAGTCAATTCCACAATTTAGTGATTTTGATCAAATTCTGTTTAATTATATTTTAAATTTAAATATTTCAAAAAAAACTAAAGTTTGAAATCGCCTCATTTCCAAAGGCACTTCCAAGTCACCGGCACTTCCGAACGAGTGAAGATATAAAAGATAGGTACTTCATCTAAAAAATTTGGAATTTGTTTTGTTTATAAATTTATTGACATTCAACTGTTTATTTTAATGAGTACAATAGACGTAATGAAAATATACCAAAAACTTAACATTCGTAGGTATGCAAAATGATTTTGTACTTGTTATAACCTCTCCTAGGTTCAAAATATAAATGACAAGCTTGTATATAATTGAAGCCACATATCCTAATAAGTATTTAGTTTCTATGACTTCGTTCCTATCAGGTAGTAAAAGAAAAACATTAATTTTACATTGCTTTTACATCAATCTTAAAATGAAGAATTTAAACTATTGATTGATCAATTGGTAAAACCAAAAGTTTATTGGTTGTGATACCACTGCCAGTAAATACTTAACTACTTGATTAATTTTCTGAATTAGGTTTTTCTAAGTAACTATAACTAATTGCACAGAGCACGCAATAAAAAAGATTTAAAGAAAAATGGAATTATCTTATGTTATTTCCGAATGCGAATTTTTAGCCATAAAAAAATTAATACAAAAATATCATATTCTCTATATGTGTTTCACCGACGGAAATAATTTGACGGTTTTATTATTACAAAATTAGAATTCGACATAGTATGAACTCGAGGATCTGTAACTTTTTTTTAAATTTTTTTCAAGATTCAAATGTGTATTTTGTAAAAAAAATACGTATTTTAGAAACCCACAGGCAACCGTATATGCTTTTCAGCTTAAATAAAGTAGAGGTATATTGCCTAAGTGTTACAAGACCAACAAATATAAATGTTGACTAAGTTAGTGTATTGTAATTCGTCGTAGGTGTACGCCTACAAAAATTAGCCGAATTTAGTAGTTTAGTTAAATTATTGCGAAACGGAATATGAATGGTCTTTGAATTTATTAATAGAAAATATTGCAAAATTTCATATTAAAGAACTTTATTTTTTTGAATTAAAACTTATTTATAATAAAACAAATTCCTGTCCGAATTTTGTATTGTAATTTAAATATTTTTGGTCTAAAGTACTATCCAACATTTATTGGCTAATTCCTTTGTCAAATTTGCAAAATTATTGCAGAATCGAGAGCAGTCCAGTGAGGTACCTATAGATGATAAATAAAAAATCGAATGCAAACATTCCATATAAGCTAATATCATTTAATTCAAATAGATACGTTTTGTACTTAATATTATTTAAAATTAAAGGTAGGTATCTAGGTTATTGATATTTGCATCAACAATATTAGATTTTCATTAAAATAATAAGATAAATTTGATATGAAGAATTGGCAAATTCATGATGAGTTTCAAATATTTAATTTTAATAATCCCTTTTCATAAACTGCTTAAAGTGGCCAATTTTTTTTATTATCTATACATTCTATACGAAACCGTGTTTATATTAGATACGCTACAATAAAAACATTTATCCAAATCCAATTGTTTCTTTTAGACTTTACAGGTACAATTTTTGGAATTTATCAGGATCAGATACCTTTTATTCAAGTGACTAGATATTATTTGTAGAGGGTTGTTCTAAAATGTAATCTACTTAACTATTATACACTATAAAGTTCAAAATGCATATTCCCATAAAATATTTAGGTATTGTGAAGTATTGATAGGTATATTTATCTCTCTCAACAAGAATTAAGCAATTTGTATCCATTTGTTCTCATTAGAAGTTATATTTTTTGTATCCAAATGGCTGCGCTAAATTTTATTTGTATTTACATTTTTATGATTTTTTTTTATTATTCGTTTCGGGATTAAACGACAAAGAAAGAGTCGCAGAAATACATACTGTTTTCTTAACGTACAAAATTTGTTATGTTGATTTTATAGGTGGATAAATAAGTATAATTATTACTACTTTACTCATCAAAACAGTAATCGAGAGCCTAATATCTTGCAATTAGTATCAGTGCTACTGATCCCGTAAATTTTACGATATCCAAATTATTATTCAATTTAACGACTTCTAGGTAAATTATTCAATATCTCAATGCAGTAAATGAATATATACTTTATTGTTATTACATATTACATACTGTACCTATGTTTATTAGAAAGAAGAAAGAAAAATTAAATCCATTGAAGTGTCTAATCTTTACAACTATTACAGATTAGTATTTTATAATTTTATGTTTTCAAATCGTCGCTTTGAAGAAAAATATTAAGAGTTAATTAAATTCTTTATTTTCTGGATACCAGCAGAAGCTTATTTAAAACAACTAAAAAAATATTGAAATATGAAAGTGAAGACATTGAATTGAATATAAAAAGTAAAACACAACATATATTAAATAAAATAAATTAGACATAAAAAATAAAAGAGAACATCTCGAAGAAAATGAAATATGTTTATTTCTACATCAATATAAAAAATTATGTACCTATCGAATTTAATTAGGTAATGTAATATCTTCTCGACAACAAAGATAGTAGATCAAGATAACTATATAGGTATCTAGGTATATTAATTTTCTGATACATTATCAAGATATGGGGAATATTTAACACTAGTATTTTTTAGTTCTAATTTGATATTATAATTATTATTTACACTCAATTTGAAGGAAGCCAATTTTGACATCTTGTCAGCTTTATACATTTATTCCAGTTCATAGGATTTCCTGTATCAGATATTTTTATTTAAAATACGAATATTCTGGAATACTTTCTTTTAAATAAGTAGAATATAAAAAAATATATTGTTTATATGTAAAGAAATGGAGATACTTATATAAATAACTCATGAAAAAGTCTTGAGAACTGTGAGGAATCTGCATTAGGATATCATTCAAATTATTATACGACCTCATGCATTTTAAATGGTGTTAGTAGGTAATGACTGTAATTCAAAGTGATTCCTCAGCTCTGCTAATAAAATTCCTGTATAAGTATAACAAATATTCACCCGCTTCCAATTTTTGTTAGTTAATTGTAATATTTACATATAGCCCTTTAGGCTTACTATATTTTGGAAGCTATACCTCCACAAAACTAACGCATCCGAAGAACCTACATGTTTTTATAATAAGTATAAAATATTGGTTATTGTTTCAATGCAGAGGAATAAAATCACTATAGTCTTGACGCTACAATATTTATGTTCGTCCTTCCTATAAATAGCATTTTTTTTTCAATGAACGACTTCATAACAGTTGATAAAATTAGGTATAGGTAATTTCTTATAGATATAAGGTACGACGGATGCTGGGTTGGTTGGCATATCCCTCTGTAGGTAGGTATACCTACCCTTTGTAAAAACATTTAAGTCATTTCGTGAGATGATAGAAGCTTTAATTACGCTACTTTTTGTTATTGACTATAATATATGTACAAACATTCTGATAACTTTCGATCATTAATGTCATGTGAACAATCATCAAATGATAATTTTGGAAATTTTTCAAATAGACGGAATTACTAAAGAATCTGTTCTTTTCAGAAGTGTTTAATATTACTTTTTGTAGTGTATTCTAACACCATTATATTAAGAAAAATGGCCAGAATAAGTCAAATTCGTAAACACAAAGTCAAAGCATCACGAAAGTTACATTCTCGACTTAAAGAGGGTTATCTGCAAGAAGATGCAACCGCAATCAGTTATTCTGACCCAGGCTCTTATCCCACACAATACCTTTTAAGTACCACCAATTTATTATCTTTTATTTGTAAATAATGGCCGTCGATTTGTAACTCTCTACCTCTGTGGCCTCGAAGACATAAACTGTTTACATCGATATATTGTGAATTCTATTGTTACCAGGGATGTTCAAATGGCTGTTTAATGTGTTTATAGCCTTTTAGTGGGAATTAAAATGAGCCACTTCAATATTTGAGGGAATAATCCGTTTGTCGGTTGCGTGAGACAAATGGACTGCCATTAATTTTCATAGTTCCGAAGGGCCTCCACGTTTAACGCGACTCTGTCACAAGGACAAAGATTTAACAATCTATTACTTGAATTGGATAATAATGTCTAACAAATACTCCAGTGTCACGCTGAGTAATATAATTTGGCACCATTATTTCTATTATTATTTAAAAAATATTTATACTCAGGCATAGCAATTTAATATAAATGCAGGGAATGAATCCTTTTTATAAAAAAAACAGTTTGCAAATATAATTTTTTCGAAACAGTTCTTTCTCATTTATAAAATAACAAGTGTTCTTTTTTTAATAATCTCACAATACGTGTTATATTCTAATACTTGGTTTAAGTGTTGACAATTTGTTACCTTAGTTAAAAATACTAATAAATGTAAATATATATTATGGAAAAACTTACAAGCTCCTGCCACATGGACCTTCTTCATCCATGGGTATATTTGCCTGTCTCCATTTTCATCGTCGTCGTCATCCTCGTCATTATTAGTAGAACTACCGTGGTCGTCGACATCGTCCTGTTCGTCCGACACATTATCTTCTAACCTTAGTCCTAATTCTTGTAAAGAATGTCCTTGAGAGTGTCCTCCAGGTGGAGAACCTCTCGATTCTTGTCCATGTCCCACCGAGGCAGGACTACACACACTAGAGTTCACATCACTTGGCTGGGAAACGTTAGGTGAAATGTCCGCTAAATTCTGCAGTATATTCGAGGAACTAGTAACCGGCGGTTGAGGGTGACTGTTTGGCAGATTTGCACAATTAACCAAAGGTTGTTGTGAGTCATGTATCTGAATGGGCGGTCTAATTTGGTGAGAGTGTATAGGTGGTGCATGATGTAATTGATGGTGATAATAATTACCATAACCATATCCTGAATTTGTTAAGGGAACTCCAGCTGATCCGTAAGAAGTGGCTTGGTGATGATTATGGTAGCCGTACTGAAGGTGGTGTTGTGGTTGGTTTAAATGGTGGTTGCCAAAAAAATTTTCCGTAGGAGACGGAATATAACTATTTTGACTGTATTCTTCTGTTGGAGGAAATTTTGGATCGACAACTACACCAGCTGATATATGTTGAGCTTGTTGATAACTCGACGGTAAAGTTCCAGAAACGGGGTTCATCAAAAACGAACTCATGATCATTAATTTTTCTGAAGCTCTAAGGCAAAAGCTCTATAAGTTGCCAGAGTTTACGGTGGGGACTTATAACGCACTACGTTATTGCATAGCAGTCCTTTTTTCTGTTCCCCTACTATATCTGGTCTCTCTTTCTCGGGATCGTTGTACACGCCCACAGCAGCCAATTAACAAACCACGTGACTCACAGAACTCCAATAGCGAGTCGTGACGTCATTCACCATGATGGATGACGGTTCTCTGGCGCCTGAGTGGGGAATGGCAACACGCGGTAATAACTACACGCTTATGTACTTACATTTTCTAGTAACTGGATTTCAAATTCGTATGTCTCTTGATTACAAATATGTTATTAATATGCCATAATTTCTAATTATAATGATACAATACGATTAACATCTCAAACACTATTTCCACAATAATAATTATTAATTGTCACATGCACGAAGGCACACAAAAAAATCTATTTTTATTCCTGCAATGTACTATGTTTACAAAAATCACTATTCTGGATACCCCTAGCGGTCGTAATCATAAAAGGAGAAATATTCACAAACATCTGACTACCCACTTTGGCTGTCGCGTTTGGACTGGAGGATGGAATAAAGGATTGGAGTTGGAAATCCTTCACTCCTCCCACTTTCGTTCGTTGCCACTTATCAGGCAGTTTCACCTTTCTCTCACGCACCTCCCTTCCATCTCTCAGGAGAGAGCGAGAACGATAACAGACATCTCTTTACCAAAGGCCGTCATCATGTGCGTCTCATGAGATTGTGTTTTTTGCAGGTAAGGAAAAATTGGGAAGTGTTTTCAAGTCTATACTTAATTTTTTCGAACGGAAATAACTGATTGTTTATTGTGAGTTTACTTAAAGTTATTAAAAAAGGTATAAAAACCTACACAGTACCTACCTAAATGATATAGTCTATTTTTAAACTAAAAGGAATGAATGCCAAAGACAGATTTACACTGCAAAAGTTACTAAAAACTACCCCAGATAGCATCAAATTATCAAGTATATACTCACTGCAAGTGTTTAACCTCATTTTGAGTACAATAAGCTTTCATTGCTTTTAAATGGGGTTACTCAAAATAATGTGCAATGCATAAATATCTAATTCTAGGTTTATTTAATTTTTATATATAAATTTTTAAAGTAGGTAGGTAAGTACTTACTACATAACATTGAAAATCTGAATATGAATGAAATAATATACTACAAACCAAACATATATAAATGATTGATTCCAGTTTTCACTTTTTAAAAAATTTTTTATTGATTCACATTTTTACACTTAGCATTGGAGTAATTATACAATGGTGTTTTTGTTACTTGGAATTGTTGCACTTCTACGAACTACGTTTATTAAGTTACCGGATAATTGACTGATAACTGAACTTCGTTCGTAATATATCATCTGCAGGTGTTCAAAGTAACAAAATAAGTTTTTATAATTTATATTATTGGTAAAAATGAGGGACAAATCCTGTCTTTAACAATTTTCTGAATTATTTGATGAGTCAGTATCCATATCACTCTCGCTATTATTAATTGATATGATTAAAGGTTCAATGAGATCATCCATAATTTCGTCAAGTGTTCCCATTTTTTCTTCTTCCTTAAACACATGTTCTACACATTTTTTCCAGTTTATGTTTGTTAAGAGCCTCTATTAGTAGTTCATTTACGCCCTTCAATTTATATGTTTTATTTTTGCTTGCCACTTCATTCTTCACCTGTGCCCAAATCAATTCTATAAGGTTTAATTCACAATAAATTGGCGGTAATCGTAAGGCAACTTTATTTTCTTTTTTNTACCAAAGGCCGTCATCATGTGCGTCTCATGAGATTGTGTTTTTTGCAGGTAAGGAAAAATTGGGAAGTGTTTTCAAGTCTATACTTAATTTTTTCGAACGGAAATAACTGATTGTTTATTGTGAGTTTACTTAAAGTTATTAAAAAAGGTAAGAACCTACACAGTACCTACCTAAATTATAATTATGTATTATCGAATAGATAATGCAATTATTAGTTACATGCTGATTTATTTAATAATATTTGCAATATCTACACCATGGAAATTTGTTAATGGAAAAAATCTATTCCCATCAGTAACATCAATACTAAATCAACAACAGACAAAAATAATAGATGCTATGGTGAAGATTTCGAATGCTGATATGTATATGACGTACCTACTTTTATTATCTGTAAATGAGAAAAAGCAAGTATTTCTACACATCCTGAAATCTTCCTAAACAAAAATGGAATACCTATATTAATTTCGTATTAACTTGAAACATGGTAGATATCTAAAAAGTGAATAATAATAAGTTAAAATTACAAGAAAACAATAAAAACATGAAAAACAACAATAAACTCGAACAACAAACGTGGAAAATACAATATTGCGTTATTTAGTTGAAATAAATGACATCACAATAATTATTTAGACAATTAATTTATACCTAACTACATTAAAATAAATACAAAATATTCATAATAAACTAATTTTTATTTGTGCCTTATCTAATTAATGGCTTCTAGAATAAAAAATATCACGAATTGTTTTTAACATCAAATATAGGTACTTAGGTATATTTTTTTAAGGTTTTTTTTTGTTTCAATAAATAGGAATACGTCTAATCGTTTTAAGATCAACTGGTAATAATTAAATAATAAGGAAGTAATTATTAACCAATAGATTTTAATATGTGAGGTACAGTGTAGTTGTGCTTATTTCTGGTATTATACTCATGAATCGGTAAGCATATTTCAGATTTTGTAAAATAGTGTTTAATATTTATCTCATAAAAACACAATTGTCTAATATCAAAACAGTCCAACATCTGCATACAAACGATGCGATGGTGATGATGCATAATGGCAAATCTCTGCAGGTTATATACCTACTAGTACGTATCTTTATTTTAAGAAACATTTATTTAAACCATTGTGTAATTAAACTGGTAATTGAAAATAAAGCCTATTATAACTAAAGCTCNATAAATTGGTGGTAATCGTAAGGCAACTTTATTTTCTTTTTTTGCATTGTCCATTACAATAACAGAATTATCTGATATTTTTTTCAAAAATTCAGAAAACCACTTTTCAAATACATTTGCATTCATTTAGTTGTGATAATCCCCACTCTTCTTGCCTTCGAAAACCAATAACGAATCTTCAACAAATCCTTCCTCTGAGCCAGCGTGTAAGATGATAAGACGGTTTCCTTTACCGGACGGTTTTTTAATCCCATAGACAGCCCTTCATTGAGTGCCCCACGTTTATTTTTAATATTAGTATCAACCCATACCCTTTCTTTTGTATGACCTTCAATTAACCATGTTTCATCTAAATAATAAATAGGTCTACCTTCAGATCTAAACTTTTTAATTGATATCAAGTAGTCAAGTCTCCATCTCACTATATCATCACGTTCTATCAACACACTTTTACGACTTCGTTTTAAGTATCTGCAAAAAAAATAAAATGTTTTTATTGCAATTATACTTGCTCCGAGATATGTCTTCAACCTTACTTGAAATTAATTTGTTTCATAAATTTGTATAATGATGAACGGGACATCTGTGGCAAATCCTGACGACTTTTTATTTCGGTTAATATTTTGTCCAAAGTGGGGATCTCATTTTTAAAGAAAAAGCTGTGTACTATACGCCTTATGGAATTCTTCATTGCTTCATCCAAACATGTAACAATCCCAGGTCTTCCACCACAGTGTTTGGAAGTAGACACCCTTCCAGTAGATTTATACTGTTTTATGGCTCGATATACTGTTGATTTTGCAACACCTAAAAAAGTATAATGTGTAATATAGTTCAACAGAATAATGTTAACATAAATTTACCTAATGTCATCGCTATTTTGGATACAAGTTGGACAGTTTTAAGAGTAGGTTCATCATCTAGGCTTTTCTTGTACAAATTCAATATTGCTTGCTTTTCTGCCAGAGACAAATGCCCCAAACTGAGTTGTTTTCGTTTCCTTGGGGGCGACGGCGATGTAATTCCCGCGCCTGCCTTACTCGTGGTCGGCACAGCATCATCCATATCCAATGGAAAATTGGAAAAAACGGATGACAAACAATATAATAAGTTGTTTAGTTCTGATAAGAACTGATTTATACGTAACTGGGATAATAAATAGAAAGAAAAGCAGGTAAAAACACAATGAC